ATCATACCCCATTTGAAAGAGTAATAAAAACACTTCTAGTTTCTATGATTATATAATTTCAAACGTATTCTGTTATAGGGAAAAATAGATTTGATATGAGAGATACATTTGAAGGGGACAAAAAGTTGCAAGAGCTTTTTTGACGACGTTCGGTATCAAGCTTTTTTCTTCCTCAAAGTCAATTCCAAAAATTTTGTTTTCTATATTTTTTGAAGTTCAGACTTTGCTCTTTCAACCAGAAAAAGAATGAACTTTCTACGATGTACCAAGCCGGAGAACCAGACTCCGACATTTCCGCAATTACTTTTGCATCGTAGATTATCTGTTTTAACAGAAAATATAACTGCATCCGAATATTTTCTATCTGATTTCGTTACTGCTTACTACATATGTACAACTGTAGTACATGCATGTGTTTGATGATATTTGATAAATTCCACGGTATGCTGGTACCACCAATAAAATGCAACTGTACTAAATATGTGCCATAGTTGATGGCTTGCTCCCATATAATCAAAACATCCGGGAGCAAATCGTTCTGGAATTTTAGTTCGAAAAAAAAAGATTCCAACGCCAAATATAGCATAGAACAGCATAATATGTAACAGAAAATATTGAACATTTGAGTTGTAACCATTCACATAAATCCAATGTAATACAGGGATGAAACCGGCCAGAGCAACAGCGATGAAGCCCGTACTGTTAATTGTATTATCAGGTTTCAAAACATGATCAAATACAATGGTCGCAATAAGAAGAACAGCTGATGTTTGATAGAAATATTTTGTATATAGATCACATTTGAATAATAGATGAAGTTCAATGCAAATCGAGGCTAATGTAGCGATGGCAATACCCAGAAGATCTAATTGTAGACACGAGCTATAAATTTTTGCTGAACAACCACTAAGCAAGTGTAACATTGTCGATGAAAGCATGCAAAATATGACGGATAACAAATACAAAAGTAGCATTAAATAATCATCCATATTTGCAGTTGAAAATAATTTATTATTGTGTTCTGACCAGATAAAATCTCGAATAAGATAGAATGTGAATAATCCAAATCCAAAAAAATGTGTCCATACATTTAATGTTTCATTGTGAAATAGAAAAAAGCTCACGACACACTCATACCATGATAAATCGCGCCGGTAGCCTTTGAGAATATAGGAGTTTGTTTGTAAATGTGCTGGAACTTGATCAATATTATAGAATCTTTTGTGTCTTAATAATAATAAATAATTTTTTGTTTTTTCATTTTTAAATACTATATCTTTATCACATGGATAGCAAATATTAGCTTGAGATTCTGAACGAAAACGAAAATAATTTTTCATTCTTCTAAATAAAAATTAAGTTATATAGTTCTACAGTATCTCATTAGTCAAGAAGTTAATTTTACTTAATAATAGATGAATCGTCAAAAACAATCGTATTCCACTTGTTGGGTTTTACTTACTTTAAATCAGAATATATTTAAATACGAATCACATAAAAGAGTTTAGTAATATCGATTAAAATTCTTAACTGAGGAGAAATAGAAAAATGATACAACTTTATCTATGATTTTTTCTGTTGAATGTAGCAGAGTAGTCATTTTTGTTTTCATTGTCTCTAAAAGAGTCTTCAGCCTTCAGAAGAATTTGATTCTATTCTTTATTTGAGGCCATTTCACTGTCTTTTGTTAATCAAAAGAAAAAGCATAATGACTGAAATATTCGACAAGCTGATACACTTTTATTTTATTATGGACACCATTGTGCCAAATTTTAATAAGAGGAACAAGATAACAGAAGTATAAGCAACGTAGAACTTCAAAAGTTTAACTATGTTTAACTTTTTATCGACTTGTTGTTCAAATTGATGATAAAATTTAAGTAAAATAGATGAACGAAATATAGTAGAAAGTGGAAAAACGTGTTGTAGACCGAGTATGTTCTCGAAAATCAACCAGTAGCTCAACTCAAAATTTCTAAGCTGTTTTTATGATAAGTAGATAAGATAATTGACTTAATTTCACTAATGGCAGCTTGAGTATTCATTGTAATGGAAAATATTATTTATTTATTTAAAACTTTATTGTAGAACTTTTTAGAATTTTTTAAAAAGTCTAATTTTTTGCTTCGATAATAACAATAAATCGACAGTTAATAAGTTATATTTTCTGTTTAAAAGTAATGGTATAATGATCGACTTTGGCAACAATCCTCATTTGAGAAGAGAGGCTTGTTAGACATATCTACAAAATTTCGCGAATATAGATGCTTCATCGGAAATGTTTGAAGCCGTTCCTAGAACTATACTCACTTCAGCTTCACTCAACAAGAGCACATATGTAGAGTTTGAGTACCGTTTAGCATTAAATCACGACTTCGTTTGGCAAATATATTTACCACTAAAAGCATTGCTTTATAATGTCAGCGCACAGGGGATTGGGGCTCAGCCATTCCGCCTTATTCGCAGAATATTAGACTGGTTCTAATAACGAACTGATCCTAGCGATAATATCTTCGGGTATACATTCTCTGAAAGTCCAGGTGAGTATTTTTCTTCACATACGACAAACGTTATCTTCTCGGTAATATTCATACGCGAACTGGTGTTGATATAGGATCTAACATTTTTGTTGAGTACTATACCCTTTTTCTTTTTAACTATTCTCCAAAGCTTTCCCATATTTTAAATGACTTTTCCTTCTCTGCAGTGATCGTGCAGTAGCTGTATGCTTGAGGATGAAAATTATCAACGCCCGACAAGCGTCGGTCTATTAGAAAAACTAAATGAGATGTTTCGTTCAGCATTTGATATTCTTTCGAATGAGACGTTTCACAAGACTATAGACTTACTTTGCCTTCGATACTAAAAAACAGTAGATATGACTTGTTTTTACGTAACAACTGAAGCAATTCTCTTTAAAAGTTTCTCTAAAAAATTCTCTAAACAAACGAATCAGTGGGCGTATATAAATCTCGAAGGAAGTTTAGTCACCATGAAAATGGTGTCAGGAGGCTTCAAAAGCTCATAAGTAAATAATTTTTTATTGCAAATGATGGTTACAGCAGTATTATATTCCCTTGGCTGTAAAGAAAAGGGTCTTATCGAGTTAAAATGCATGTATGTTTGTATGTCCGCAGACTAGATACTAGCGACACACAAACTAGTAGAGCAAAAGTTGATTGGATGAAAATGATATCGAGTATGTAGTCGACTATGGGGAATCAGAAAATGAGTGAGTGCGACCTCTAGGATTGATGCTATTGGTCGAAATGTTTTTCTTACCTTGGTTTGATGAAAATGATGTGAAATAGGTATTCGACTATGGAGAATCGGAAAATGCGTATAGGTGACCTATAGAATGGCTTCTATTTGTCGAAAACTTCATTTCCACTTGAATGGATCAAAATGATATGGAGTAGGTAGTCGAGTATGGTCAATCAGAAAATGAGTATGAATGACCTCTGCGGTGAATCCTATTGATCGAAAACATCATTTCCACTCGACTCGAAACTGTGATGATTTTGCCTTCGTTGTTCAAATCGATTATTCGGAAAACTTTATTCTCGATACGCAAGGCCAGATTCAATCAGCTCATTGGGGTAAAAAACAAGTCCGCATATGCTTGGTTTGATGATAGTTGTGGTACCGGTTATTCATTTGGTTTTGAATCAGATAATAATCATCATGCTAAATATACGGTCGCCACGTGTTTAAAAATAATGATAGATGAGATTAGTTCGTTACTACCTGATGTCAGGTTAACTTTTTCTCTGATGGTGCTGCCAGCCAATTCAAAAATCAATACTTAGCTCGGTTGTAAACTGAAGTAATCCATTTTAATGATATTGATTTGGAATGGAACTATTTTGCTAGTCCCCATGGCACAGGTGTCGTCGACGGAATTCGGGGCACACTAAAAAGATTGGTTTGGATAGAAATTCAACCTGGTAAACCGTGTGAAATGGCGAAAGATTTAGTTAAAACTGCCGAAAAATAATCAGATAATATTACAGTAATATTGTTTGATAAAGATGCAATTGAAAGAATGCATCTTTCAATCTTTTTTACTTCTTCTTTTTGTTATTTTTTTCTTTTTTGTTTTAGTTTTTAATTTATTTGGACGTGAGAGCAAAATAATTTATTTTAATCTAATTATCATCCTGACATAACTAAAATAGAATTTCAGTCAATTTTTTGTCTCGTATAACGGAAGTTTGAATGTATACGTAACAGTTTTTCATCATATGTAACTAGTGAAACGACGACAAAAAGAAGTTCTAAATCTGTTTTTGTACTCTACTAGTGTTCTATTTTTATCAGACATCAAAACAATATAAATACATATTGTTTATCGCAGCTTGTATATTTACTAACTTCAATAATATCAAGATGAAGTGCTCTAAATAAATGTAATCGTTGGTAAAGCTATTGTTTTATCAAAATACGTAGTTAATCTTGATTTGTTTCTCTCGATTGCATCTTTATCAACTAATATTACCGTAATATTATCTGATTATTTTTCGGCAATTTTAACGATCTGCTAATATTACTGTACAGTAATATTAGTACATAAAGATGCAATAGAGAGAAACAAATCAAGATTAACTACGTCTTTTGATACAACAATAGCTTTACCAATTATACAACGATTACATTTAATTAGAGCTCTTCATCTTGATGTTATTGAAGTTAGTAAATATACAAGCTGCGATAAACAATATGTATTTACATTGTTTTGATGTCTGGTAAAAACCGAACAATAGTAGAGTACAAAAACAGATTTAGAACTTCTTTTTGTCGCCGTTTCACTAGTCGCATGTGATGGAAAACTTTTACGTATACATTCAAACTTCCATTATACGAGACAAAAAAATTCCGATTACTGGGAAAGTTCCCAGAGGACGCTAATATCAGATTCTGATTCTTCATAGTTAATTACCTATATGGGTACATTTTTCATGTGTTATTATCGTCTTGAACGTAAAATGCTCTTGGGCGGTATCTAGCTAGTATATACCTGTGAACGATCTTCTTTTTAACTAAGCAGGAATTAAGTTTCCATCACTTAAGGTTCCCGAGATACGGGTGATTTCAGAGGGTAGACCTGCATAGTCATATGTTTCTCCTTCAAAAAGACAAGATAGTGAATATCTTGTCATATGTTTTAACTGTTATTTTCATACATATATATAACAAAAACAATAGCAGAATCTTTAGTCACACTCTTAAAATGTCACTCGCTTCTGTACAAATCTCTTGTTAACTTGTGTTTTTCTGTTGAAGTTTTTTGTTGCTGAAAGTCACGCAAAAAAACACAGTTTTTTACCAGTTTTTTTGCCTGACTTTCAGCATTTTTGGGATATCTCGAGAAGGAAAGCATATTTTTTGAAAAGAAAAAAAACATTTTTCGATGTTCTATCTCTGTTATAGAATCTCAGTCTAATTACAGTAAGTCCAAAAAATGCAAGTATTGCCAAACCATCAAGTATAGCATTTCCAGCAGTTCAAGTAGCCAATGGAAAAACACTACCGAAAGCGTTCTAGGATCCCGCAGGACTTTGGGCAGGATCCCGCGGGTTATCAGTATTAAAATATCTGGCGATGTTTCATACCTTTACGCAGGATTTTTATACTGTCAGTCCTGACAGAACCCTGCATAGTTTATGTAGGATCAGCATGGAAAAATCCTGCGTAAAGGTAAGAAACATCGCAAGACTTTTTGACTTATTCAATCCACAAGTTTTTTCCTACGAGATCTGGCAGAATTTTGTTGGTTGAAAGAAAAAGGATTTTGGTTT